CTTAATAAATATGATGAGTTATATGAGTGGCTAGGAACATAGGAAGGAGAAAAAGAAATTTATAGACCGACCTAGGTGAGAAAAAGCTATCTAGGGACTTTCAAAATGTCTGGTGTATAGAAAATAAGGATAAGAGGGTTTTATCCAAAGATAAARATGTAAAAAAAAGACAAAAAGAATATTTTGAGCGATTACTGAACGAGAAGTTTCCAAAAGTAGCATTGGACAGTATTTCATGGAATGAAGGATTGATTGTTCTAGTAGGTGAAGAAGGAGTGAAGATTGAGGCGAAAAAAAGCGGTATGACCAGATAGAGTAATAAAAGAGTAGAAAATAGTAAAATTTTAGAAGCATTGGATGGCTGAAAGATTTTTTTAATAAGGTAAATGGTAATAATAAAAGGGAAAAGGCCAGACAATTGGAAAAAGAGTTTTATTGTACGAATAGGAAATGGGGACATGCAAGAATGCAGGAGCTAGAGAGGAATAAAGCTTATGATTTATGAGTCATAGTATGAAGATTTGGGAAAAGATTATAAAGAAGAGAATTAAAAGTAAGTCATCAATATCAGAAAATCWGTTTGGTTTAAAAAAATAAAAACCTATGTATGGTGTTTATAGATTTAAAWAAAAACGTATAATAGAATACCAAGAGAAGTTTTAAAGTTGGCATTAATAAGWAAAAGTGTCCCAAAAATGTACATAAATTTGATTCAGGATCTAGTGCTAGTGTCAAGAGTCTGTTTGGAGTGACAGAAGATTTTAACATAGGAGTTAATGTGCATCCGGGGTCAGCTCTAAACCTTTACTTGCACTCCAAGGTAATGGATGAAGTTATTAGATGAAGTCGATAACTTTAAATATTTAGAATCGTTTGTACAACTAAAATAAAACAAGTAAATTAATTAKTTATACACTTATATAATTATTATAATGTACGAATTGAAATGAAAAATCTAAAATTCATAGGCGAAATTTCAATAAAAAAATAAGGGTGCTTATGCTATGCATTTCGTCATTTTAGTTTTTTTTTTTTTGAAAGAAGAAGTTTTTGATACATAAGCACGATCATTATTTGAGGGTGCTAATTTTAAAATTGGCGGTGCTATTACCCCCTAAGCCTCCCCCTATTTGCACTCATGCTAAAATTATAATTTTAAAAAGCGGGTAAGTGRATGTCGATCTGCTGTAAAGTAGTTTACAAATGGGTTATTGTAATGGATGGTATTAAATTTGAATTCATGAATAAAATATCATTCTATACGAGTACGAAAAACGATTATGAGCGAAGACGGTTTGTCAGTCAAGGATATTTTGTCTTATAGTAATTATTTTGTTATTATTTAAAAAAAAAATTAACTACTTATGTGAAAACTTGTTTTAAATTTTAATTCTTAGCTATAAACGTTATAAGTGTTTTATAAATAAATGTTTAACAACTAAATAATTGGTTAAAATGTTGTCAAAATTTGAACTTTAAACGGTTATTATGCATACCTATTTAATATTTCCCAACTTCTGTTTTAAAATAACTTATGGGAAACCTTTTATTAAATTTTAAGGTTTTTGGCCCAACGAATAAAGTTTCATTGAAATTTATAAAATAAAACCTAAAAAACGGAAAATTTCAAATGTCAAAATAACTTAATAATTGCATGTTGACAATTTTATCAAGTGGGTATAGGAATTGATAAAATAAAACTCATAGTGTAAATTTTAAGTTTCTACAGTTCTTTGTTTTTGCATAATAACAAAATAAGAATATCGTACCGATATGTACCATTCGGTACAATAAGAAAAATCGAGTGAATATCCAATGTTCTAGAAATTTGAAATTCAAAAGCTCATAAAAATTTAACTTACTTTCTGCAGGTAGACAATTTTATTTGATAAAAGTAGACAAACTTCTGAAAAATCTTATATTGAATTTTTAAATCTAAAATTATTTTTATGAATTTTGAWYTAAAAATAATTTTCATGATTTTTACCATTGATTTTATAATATATTTTATATTATAAAATCAATGATTTTACGTTTATAATTCAAACTTTACATGCTTATAAAAAAATTGTGACTTTTTATTTTTTATATAATACTACCACCGTAACAATATTTATGAGCTTTGTATTAAATTTTAAGTTTTTTTACCCAACAATTGCAATTTTATTGACAGTTATCGAAAAAAAAACGAAAAACATTGAAAATGTTATTATGTATATATAGAAATTAATAATTATAAACATTCAGTGAAAATAKCATGGACTTATCTACGATAATTTGTTTTAGATTCACACAAATATCTAAAATGATTTTGAATAAAAATTTCTGTTTCTCCTTAATTTTTCAAATTTTTGTTTTGATTTTCCAGCGCTATTAAAAACTACTGGACATTTTAAATTCTGATCCCTCCAAATAGATTCACTTTTCAACCGGAAAAGTTATTGAAGTTGAAAATTGAACCATTATTTCGACAACTTATTGTTTACACAGACACAAATAAATAATTAAACATACATCAATACATTCATCGTTCAGCTCACAATGTAAAAGTATTATAATTATTTTATGGGTAGATTTAGGTATATTCTTTGTTTTCAATTTAGTGGAAATATAATTCAGAGATACTTCGAGGTCTTCTTCAGTTATTACAAATTATTAATTACATATTATTATATTTATTGGGAGAAGTTTACTTTTTAATCCAATTTTAACTTTTGCACTAAACATAGTTTCWTAACTTTGTAAGGTGAACATTTTATTTTCGAATGCAATGAACAGTTTTTCATGAACTGGGTTTTATTCCCTTGCTCTATTTTTAGCATGGTATAGTCTTGCAAACAAGTAGCAGTGATAGTTTCAATGYCCTGGATAGATCGTTCTACTGAATCTTGAATCTGTGAGTGACGAAGTTTTCCATGATCTATTTTAAGTACTGGCTACATTGTACATTATTTCAGTTACAACCTGATTAACAATTTCTCGACCGTTATCCGATTATAAGATTGATGGCGTTTTGAAAGTTGTGAAAATGRCTAATAAGCATCTTCTTTGGTACATTTGTGTTATTCCTTATCCTTACTGTACTAAGTATTGTCACTGGTATCACACCGAGATATCACATTCTGAACTGCGAAGACGTGAAGACCGTGAAGTTACAAAAAAGTTCTAGTTACATTCCTCAAATTGAACATCGTAATGMTAACGACAGTCTGGGTAATGTTACAAATGCGAGGTTATAATGTAGCTTTTCGATTGGTCATCACATAATACTAACTTTAATATAAGCATGATGTGAGTAAAGAAAAACAAATTATGTTTATTCTAAAATACAATCCTTTTATTGCAATAAAAAATGTATAAAAACTTTTTCAAAATGTAATMTCACATAATATAATAATAAAATCAACTTAATAATGCACAACTATATAAAATATTATTAAAACTAAAAAAAATACTAAATTATTTATAATACCAATATCTTTTTAGTAGATATACTGTTTATAACAGAAAAATAATGCTTTACTGCAATGTCACATAAATATAAAATCAACTCGCATTAGTATATAAAATTAATCAAACAAAATAAACTTAATAATACAAAATTTTATTTTAATATTAATAAGCAAATATTTAACATAATGCAAATGCATATTGATACAAAACCATTTGTTGTCWTCGTCTTACAAGTGTATTATAACACTGCAAATTTGCGCTCAGCAGATCATGTTTAGTGAATCGACCTATTATGAAACTTGATGTTAAGAATATTATCTGTGTTTGTATGTGGGTTTTTTACGATACTTCAATTTTGTAGCAAATTATATGTTTATAAAAAAGCGTAAATTAAAAATGCTCACTTAAAAACTAAGTTATCGTAAWAAACCCATTTACAAACACAGATAATTTTCTAACCATTAAGTTTCATAAAAGATAAATTTACTTTAATATTTAAACTAACGGAATTAAACGTGATCTGCTAAACGTAAATTTGCTATKTTACGCACTTGTCAGACGGAGACAACAAATATGACGTGTGAAGCGTCTTCCTAATCACAAAAGAAAAGGGTATATTATAGATTGATTTTTATAAACTTGATGTATCCGCATAAAACAAACCTAAATCATTATAAGTTAAAGTTGGTAAAAGGTAATCAATCATTATAAATAGGTGATATAATGTTGTTAAWTTTACAAATATTCAATGTAATACTATTATATTTTTATTTTGAATAACTTATTATAGTTTAGCAATTTGGTTGCAAGATAACATTAAATATTGATTTTTAATTTTATTAGAATTAATATTTAATTGTTTTAACATTTATAAAGTAGGGTTTAGGTACTATGGATTTCCTACAAACATCGTAMAAATTTCATAGTTGAAAACCGATATATCTAAGATATATCAATACGCCGCGAATAATTATTTGATAGAAGAGTTTTTTCAATTATCCTATCCTATTATACGCTTCTTGCAATGGAAACCTTGTTTTTTAAATGATCCGCAGTTCAGTATATTGTCTGAAGATTTATTGGTTATTCTATTTTGCGTGTTAAAGTGGTAACGCAGTACGGATTAGTGATTACGCTTTTTCTGAGAGCACAATATACGCACTACGTCGTACTTCACCATGTTTGAAGTGCGGTCTGCCAACTCTGCCAGAATGTCCGATGACGGTCGAGTCGATCGGTTGTTCGACTTGCACACTTGACAGCGCTGCGGTCGCGTGGTGTGCACGACGGCCGCCGGCGTGTTGTCGGCTGCGCGGGGGATATCCCGGAGTGTTTCCCAACAACACCGCTCCGCACCCACCCCTCAGGACCATTACGGCGATCCGGACCAACACGTGTTTATCGGGTACGCGCGGCGCGCACACGGCTGATGGACGGGCGGAAACGGGCGCCACCGTTGTGCGCAAACCCCCGCCGCACCACCGGCCGCGTGACCAGACGATCGGAACGCGGCCCCGACCCTCGCCCGCCCACCGATCATGATCGTTCGTTACCACCGCCGCACCGACGGCCTTATGCCATTCCCCGCGTGCTCACGTACGTCGTCATCACCATAGTGTAGACCGTCGTCGTCGTTGTCGTTGTCGTTATCCCCAAGTCTCGACTCCCGAGGCCCGACGGTCGGCCACCAGTAGTAAACACTTGTTCAGTATGTGAGCACGTTGCTTATGTCATTAGCGCTTCCGTCGACTGATCAAATTTTGTATTTGACATTATTTTTCATTCACTCATTATTTAACTCGTTAATCGTTGTTTATTAACTAAAAATTAATTTGTTATCATTATTATTTATTTTTTCGTTGCCCATTTTTATTTCGTGTTTTTCGATATAGCATACATATTTATTTTTACGGTTTGTACACGATAAATGACGTTGGAATTATGGGCCTAAACAGCGGTCAACGAGTACGCTCCGCGCATGTACAACTGACGGCGATTTCTTTGGGAATCCGGGATCCGGATGTCTTTGGAATGTAAAACTATGCTGCGAAAAAGATTCTCAGGGGAAGTCCCTGTTAAATGTAAGTATTGGATTAATTTTTGTTTTACAATACGATTGTGTAATAATTAAAAATATACTGCAGAATGATATGTGGTTCTTGCTGTGTAAGGCACCGAAAGTTTGAGATGTTTTTAAAGCAATAAAAACCACTAAATTTTTTCGCCAAAAATTAAATCATCCGGGACGCGCGCGTTAAGAATTTAAGATTCAATCGAATGCAATGAAATTAAATATTGTCCAGTGAACTTGGTGCTTTATCCGTTAGAGTGTACTAGTTATATGTAAACATATTATGAACAGTTCTATTTCGTGTTTTATACGAGGGCATTATTATTTATTGTTAATACTAAAAATGCAAACAACAATATTATGTTACTGCGGATTTGCGAAACACTATGGTTCGACCTTTAATCACGTATTTTTTATTTTTTTATACATATTATTATCATTGGTTAGCGGTCGTTTTTCTCTTCGTCGCGGTTTATCGCTTTACCATAATATCGTTGGTTCGACAACCACCAATCACAACAACAACAAACGGTAWAATATATTAATATTATTATTATTACGTTCTGTATATATATATTTTTCTGGTCTGATTTTCGATATGCGGTATATTGTATAGTTACCGTAGAGTATGCACTGTACGCGGAGAAATGTGCGGATTCCCCCTGACCCGATCCTATCGCCACAACTACCGTCATCGCCACGGCACTACAGCAGGCTGTGCGTGTGTTGTTATCCCCGGTTGTCCTCCACTACCTCACCGCCCTTCATTACCGTTCCCGGTCAAACGGGTCACGAGGAGTCCCCAGCGGAATCTTACTCACAACACACACACACACACACACACACACACACACACAAACACACACTACATTATTCCCACGTTGCCGCTGTGCACCAAACACAGACATATTTATATACACACACGAATGCGTGCATCATTATACAGTCGTCGTCCCCCCACCCCGCGTCACGTCCAAGTTGTCAGCACCAAGGTTCCTTGTATTGCGTTATTGGCATATCGCGTCGTCCCTCTCACTTCACCTCACCGGTCTACCATCCGTTCCCTCCACACCCACATTATCGCGGCTACAACGCACGCTGTCCTAGCGGGGCCACGGGCCCGCCTTGCTCGAGCGCGCTCGCGTATACAAACAGCCAATGTTTACAACCGGGTTCTCCCGGGCACCTGTTCTCCGCCGCGTTTACGCATAAAATTGTGAATAACCCGTGAGCCCAGACGACTTACCAACCTGTCTTACCTMGAGAGTGATGGCAGAAGCGTTCGCGACTTCGGTGCATGCGCGTACATGATTATATTATAAAATTATAATATACTCTGTACAGGTATGTGTGTGTGTGTGTGKTAGTGTGTACCACTCTCAGCGCGAGTTGTACGTGAACATAGTGCGGCGGCGCGTCGTAAACGTTTGTAGCTTACAACGATCACGCATGTGGTATCGTAGTATAGTAATAAATAATAATGATAATGCGTGGTTGCGTATCGGAACGAGTGGCGAAGAGGGGTGGGACATTCTAACAAGTGGTTTCGGCCCGATGAGTAATAATAATAGCCTACGAATTGACGTTGTTCWTGGAGATTATATTTTTCTGTTTCTTATGCGTTTAATAGTCCATTGGCATAGCTATCACGTATTATTACTTATTAGTTATTAATCAATGATATTATTATAGCTTATTAAATTATTATTCACTGTCCCACCATGCCTTAGACATTTTTAGAAATATATACGTTTCACGTTTGGGTTGCAACCGAATGATTCAATTTTCATTTTTCGTTACTAATTATTAATTAATAGCTATACAATATTTCCAATTCAAATAATATTAAAATGTGCAAACATGAAATATTATTTCCACAAAATTATATTTATATTATATAAAACGCTACACAACGTTATCGGAACGACTGCTTACCTCTTCAATTTATTAATCATACTAATCGATACACCTAGTGCTTGATTCATTTTAATGTATAAAGTGCATGATCAGCAAACAACTATTAAATCCATACAATTCGACGTCTACTACTAAAAGTGCATCCCATTTGCTTGTACAGTTGTTGTATCGATTAGTAATTAGTAATTATATATTATTCATTATTCAGTGTTTTAGAGATGACGTTCACTCAGTAACTCGCTTAAAAAAATTCACTCGCCTTACGTTTTTTATTTTTAACAAAGAAGTTTATATCAAAAATTGCTTAGAATAATCTGTAATGGATGTTTCGAATTCGCGTATTTTATTCTAAAAATGATTTTTTTATGATCCGTTTGCTTGAAATTGACGAGGCTATTATTTTTACATGTTAAGTTAGCCAAAACAACCGCAGGTGAGTTGCAAAACGGCACACGTTCTAATGAATTGTTTTTATTTTTTTATTATTCTGCTAATTATGAACGTGTTTTATTCTCGTACTATATGTATTATTATCGTACGAATTGGAAGCGCATGCCTTGTGATCTCGACAAACGCGTTAAGCATATATTATTAGGTGTATCGTGTATGTATGCATAGTAATTTTAAATACTAATTTATGAAATGTAGATATTTATATTCATATTATTTATAGATAATTATATTGTTTATTATTGTCTTAATTTGTGTTGAGTGTTGWGCAAATTACACGTGTTCTTTGGTTGTAATCGAAAATTCATMCGGTGTTGTACAAAGTCCTATAATACATCGATATATTTTATTATTGTGTTGATAAACTGTTTTCAAAAATCATCGTTAGGGTTTATTGTGGTGAATAAAACTGAGGTTATCGGTACAATGTACATATCATACAGAATCGTATATAACGGCCTTTGAGTTCTGACTTGGGATCTCATACACGCTCTCTCACACAACGTTAAGAGAACCTATATATTGTTGRGCAAAACAAATTCCTTGTCCTCGATTCGAATGTATAATAGATGGGTGTATAATATTATCTCGTATAGGTATTATAAGTGTATAATAATTTAGTTTTTATAAGAATTGGCTAAGCGGGAGGGTGTTTTCTAAAAAGGTGCGGTGACCGTGTTATTGGTGTAGGTACACTGGTACACACACAAACACAACGGGTTTACACCGGATACACGGCGGGTGGTGGGTCGGCCAGGTTCAACTTGGAGGGGGAAGCAATGCTAACAGCAGTCTTCTCCCTGGTTCTCAATAACACGAGAAAAAAAAGGCTCAACTTGGAGAGAGGTAAGTGTGCGGTCAACCGGTTTTCATTATCCGTGGACTGGACGGCGCCAGCCGGGCGGCACGCTGGCAGCTGCAGTAGGTATACAACGAGATATTCATATTCGTCTAGCTCCAGCGGAACCCGTCAGCGCGGCGGTACTGGCGACTATGGCGATTGTCACCTGCACCACCTCGCCACGAGTCGACCTAACCAACGGGTCAACGATACCATCGGATGATCGGACGCAAGTAACTGCCGCACTTGGGTTTCCGGGAAAATGGTGATTGGCGCTCGCTACTCACCAACTTAACTGCTTCTTCTACTTATTCGCTAGATACTTTACAAAATAAACCCACTCTTATTATGATGCGATTGTTTTGTTCGCCGCTGCCGTTTGATCTGTGCACTCGGATCGTCGACTTCAGTGTTCGTACTGCTTTTATGTGCTTCCTGTTTAACAGATTCCTACACTATCGTCGTGTCTTGATTATTTCGCTGTGATAATGGTGAGACATCCACTCGGACACCTCCAAATATCCTATGTTTTTTGGAAACAAACATCAAATTTTCTACAAATTGAATCCTCTTAATAGCGGACAAAATTTTGGTAACCAAAAATACGGTAGGATTATGTTCTGTAAATCCTWATTATTGTTCTTAAAATTAAACAATCGGTGCGGAGTTGATAAATGGGGTGTCGTATCTCGTATATTGAGGAGTGATATTTTCATAAATAACTGTTAAAATGTTTTCTAAACAACCGCCAACCGGTATGATGCAGTTATGCTTCTAGATATAAAGGTTCGTATAATTTTCATTGTTATMGTCGTTATCGAAAATTACGTTATTGCTACACGGAAAATCATTGCTCTTTCAGTTTAATTTATATTTTAATATAATTTTGTATGCCATTTCGATTTACGGTTATTCCCTCTCACTTTACTTAACTTTACCCACCTTTTCAATTTTAATGCTAATATGAAATCAACCGTTTTGTTTTCATTTTTAGACTCTGAACGAAGTGATGAATGTCTTAATTTTACATTGATGTGTTTTTTTTTGTGTCTGTATACAGCATAACTAGTCGAAATAATGCTTCGATCAAACTTTGGGGGTGGTTTCCGATGTAAAATCGAAGATCCTTGGTGCATTATAGAGGTCAAAAGTAATTATTTTCCAACAGTTTTCAAAAAAATCGATTTTTTTATATGGTTGTAATTCAAAAACTAATCACTGTAAATACTTGAAATTTTCACCAAATGTTTTATGTAAGTGTTATCTATATACAGTTAAATTTCCAGACCACTGAAATTTTCAATTTTTTTGAGAATTTTTTTTTGAAGTATCGGTAAAAAAAATGTTGGACGACCAAAAAAATTTGAAAATTTAATACAAGGTTCCTTATGAGTTGTTCTTATTGTAGCTAAAAAAAATTAAAAATCGTAAGTCACAATTTTTTTTAATAAGCGTTTATAGTTCAAAATTTTACGAAATCTGTCGAAAA